GTGCATCCGAAAGGGTGTTGACCAGGATTGACAAAAACCATTCACTGCTGCGGGCAGCCTGCCGGCAATGCCTCAAAGCTCTCTGCTCGCGAATCTTGGGTGCATTCACTGCTGCGGGCAGCCTGCCCGCAATGCGTCTAAGCTCTCTGCTCGCGAATCTTGGGTGCATTCACTGCTGCGGGCAGCCTGCCTGCACTGCCTCAAAGCCCTCTGCTCGCGAATGTTGGGTTGCATTCACTGCTGCGGGCAGCCTGCCTGCACCGCCTCATTTGTCGTCTGCTCGCGAATCTTGGGTGCATTCACTGCTGCTGGCAGCCTGCGTGCACCGCCTAATCTTGGGTGCATTCACTGCTGCGGGTGGCCTGCCCGCACCGCCTCAAAGCTCTCTGCTCGCGAATCTTGAGTGCATTCACAGCTGCGGGCGGTCTGCCCGCACCGCCTCAGAGCCCTCTGCTCACGAATCTTGGGTGCATTCACTGCTGCGGGCAGCCTGCCCGCACTGCTTCAAAACCCTCTGCTCGCGAATCTTGGGTGCATTCACTGCTTCGGGCAGCCTGCCCGCAATGCCTCAAAGCCTTCTGCTCGCGAATTTTGGGTGCATTCACTGCTGCGGGCAGCGCGCCCGCACCGCATCGAAGCCCTCTGCTCGCGAATGTTGGGGTGCATTCACTACGGCGGGCAGCTACCCGCACCGCCTCAAAGCCCTCTGCTCGCGAATCTTGGGTGAATTCACTGCTGCGGGCAACCTGCCTGCACCACCTCAAAGCCCTCTGCTCGCAAATTTTGGGTGCATTCACTGCTTCTTCGGGCAGCCTGCCTGCACCGCCTCAAATTAAGCCCTCTGCTCGCGAATCTTGGGTGCATTCACTGCTGCGGGCAGCCTGCCTGCACCGCCTTAAAGCCGTCTGCTCGCGAATCTTGGGTGCATTCACTGCTGCGGGCAGCCTGCCCGCAATGCCTGAAAGCTCTTTGCTCGCGAATCTTGGGTGCATTCACTGGTGCGTGCAGCCTGCACGCAATGCCTCAAAGCTCTCTGCTCGCGAATCTTGGGTGCATTCACTGCTGCGGGCAGCCTGCCCACAGTGCCTCAAAGCCCTCTGCTCGCTAATCTTGGGTGCATTCACTGCTGCGGGCGGCCTGCCCGCACCGCTTCAAAGCCCACTAATTACTCGCGAATCTTGGGTGCACTCACTGCTGCGGGCAACCTGCCTGTACCGCCTCAAAGCCCTCTGCTCGCGAATCTTGAGTGCATTCACAGCTGCTCGCAGCCTGCCCGCACCGCCTCAAAGCCCTCTGCTCGCAATGCCTCAAAGCCCTCTGCTCGCGAATTTTAGGTGCATTCACTGCTGCGGCCTGCCCGCACATCCTCAAAGCCCTGTGCTCGCGAATCTTGCGTGCATTCACTGCTGCACCGCCTCCAAGCGCTCTGCTCGCGAATGTTGGGGTGCATTCACGGCTGCGGGCAGCTACCCGCACCGCCTCAAAGCCCTCTGCTCGCGAATCTTGGGTGCATTCACTGCTGCGGGCAGCCTACCCCCAATGCCTCAAAGCTCTCTGCTCGTGAATTTTGGGGTGCATTCACTACTTCTTCGGGCAGCCTGCCTGTACCGCCTCGAAGCCCTTTGCTTGCGAATCATTTGGGCATTCACTGCTTCTTTGGGCAGCCTGCCTGCACCGCCTCAATGCCCTCTGCTCGCGAAGCTTGGGTGCATTCACAGCTGCGGGCAGCGTGCCCGCACCACTTCAAAGCCCTCCCCTCGCGCATCTTGGGTGCATTCGCTGCGGGCAGTTCGCCCGCACCGCTTCAAAGCCCTCTGTTCGCGAATCTTGGGTGAATTCACTGCTGCGGGCAGCCTGCCCGTACCGCCTCAAATCCCTCTGCTCGCGAATCTTGGGCTGGCGGGCGACCTGCCCGCACCGCCTCAAAGCCGGGCATGGTGTTGGCGGACTGTTGATCAAAGCCGTGCAGAAGAACGCCAAGAAGGATTTTGGCCATGACAGTCTAAACCGGAAGCGTTGGAGACAAATGACCCCGGTAAGAAGTCCCAGCAGGCGGCGCTTGCAGTGACGGCATGTGACGGCAAGTGCACCTGGCTTAAATGAAGCGATGGGGGTGCATGTAGAAAGGATGCCGAATGAACGAGCTGCGCCACATGTACGGAAATGTGTGGAACTACATGGATTGGCAAGCCACCGTGGCAAGATCGTAAGCACTGGGATGCCCAATGAAAACAAAATTGGTGAACGCCAGAGCTGATCAGATGTGTGCTGGAAGACGGCATGTCGTTGTCATATGTTGTCATCGTTGTGGTTGTCCCATCTCACCCCTCCATCCGCCACTGCTTCTTTTCTTCTTTTTTTGCCTATGCATCCATCCACTTCGAATCTGCGAAGGCATGGTTTCAGCGTTTTGTATTTGTTTCTCTTTCCTATACAGTAGCACATGGGAGAGTGGTGACATGATTATGCTTTCAATAGTCATGGCATGTCATGGTCAGGACAGATTACAAGGCTGGAAGGCGCAAGTTTTTCCGGCAGCTGCGAGCGCTCTGTAAGCCTCGCATGTGTGTATGCGTGATGCCCAAGTTGAGTGTCTAAGTGCGAGACGTAGAATATTTTGCCAACTCAAACCGGCCAAGCACCCGCCCGGTCAGAGGCTTTATTCTCGTGGGTTTGTGTGATGTTTCTGGCCCGAGGAAAGCAAAGCCGAGGACGGCTGTAGTGAGCATGGAGCCTTAAGCTGCGTGCTGTTCCTAAAGCCAATGCGTTCAGGAGGTCATCTTGGTTTACGACCTGGGTGGCGGCACGTGTCGCTCTGACCAGAAACAGAGTACAAGGCAGAGACGGTGTTGCTTGTTCTGGAGCAGAGCAGAGGTGATGTGTCGGTGTTGAAGACTGGCTCCAGCGGCGTGCTTCAGGTGGGCATATACGCATCTGTGACGATTCTCATGGAAGCGACGTTGCCCTGGAGGTGTTGGCAACCAGTGGAGACCCTCGCCTAGGAGGGGAGGACTTTGACCGACGGTTGGTCACACATTTGCAACTTGTTCGCAGTCAGCTGCATCTGTGAATAGCAAAGTCCACCAACCATGTCGTTATTATAATCGATCGCTGGATTTGGAGCCTGATGCGTTTGTGCCCGTTGGTTGTGTTCTCTGTGTACGAAAGGCCCGGCAAGATAAGCTGAGGATAGATATCTTCAAGAAGAAGTTCAGCAAGGATTGGAAGTGATTGGCACCCGGAACCTGGCACCTCGACATGTTTCCTCATCGGGTGCACTGAAGGACGTTTCTGTCGAACCACAGCTGCTGGAAATGCTCCGGGTGGAAGCCGAGAAGGCAGGAAGCTTGATTGCAGAAGGCTGCTGATGCGACTTAGAGCGCCTTATGCTTACCTGGAGGCCAAGCGAAAGCTCAGCACAGTGCCGCAGGTTTGACGTGGTAGTGACACGGGTGTCATTGCATCTGTGCCTTCCTTTAATTCGCTTCCCTGTCAAAGGCGACCGTCAAGGTTGACTTCGGCGACACGACGTTGGCCGAAACTCTGTGCCTCGTCTCACCTTACAAGTAAGGGCCGTGAGGGCTCAGCGCGACTTGCTTGGACAGCCGAGGACGCGAGGACAGTTCGAGAAGCTCAACGACGAGCTCTTTAGAAGGACCCAGAACCGGCAAGCATCAAGACGTGGCCATAAACAAAGCTTCCGTGGGCACATGGGCACAGCTGAGCCAACCGGCCGGTGGAGGACCCTGGAACCTGTGCAGTCGGTTCTGAAAGATGCGGGACTGCACAAGTCCGAGGTGACCACCGCACCTCGGACGCCGGTATGATATGCACAGTGATGTACAGTGGTGCAGGTCCTTTCGTTTTGTTTCCTTGCTTGTGCCTTGCTTTGTCGAGGTCATCCTGGCGGGCGGGTCCTCGCGCATCCCGAAGGTACAGCAGATGCTGAGTCAGCTCTTCGGCTTGGTAAGTCCATGTAAGTCCATGTAAGCAGCCATACACCATCAGGCCTTAGGCAAGCATGGTTTGCTGCTTTCTAAGCCTCGCAAGCCTCACGGTTCAACTGCGACGCTCCAGGTTCTTTGATGGCAAAGAGCTCCCAGACTGAACTGACTGTAAGTCTGTCTCGTGTCCCGCGCGAAGCCGCTTGCATAGTGCATTTGTCAGGCTCATGAGAAGGATAAACCCGGATGAAGTTGTCGCTTACGGCGCTGCAGTGACGGCCGGATCCTTGTACTGAGCCGAGAGCCCTAGAGAGACTACAGCATCGCAGGCCGCAGGCCTGAGTTCCGAAGAGAGTGTGGAGGCCAGGACCAAGATGCGACTGACACATGAAGCGTGAAGTTTCGGCACAGCCTGGCAGTAATTTTGCTTATGTGTTGATGCCAGTACGGTGGCCTCATCGATGTCATCCCGCTCTCGCTTGGCATTCAGACAGCACGGTGCCAAGCTTTCTCTTCTCCTCCCACGGTGGGCCTGTTTCCGACCCTTGAGGCTGGCGGCTTCATGACTACTGTGCTGAATCGCAACGCGCAGTTGCCAGCCGAAAACTCGAAGCTTGGATTCACGAGACTGCGGTTGAAGCCGACCACGAAAGTACTTGTGCTGAGGATGCTCTTCTCGACCAACAAGGATGGTCAGGACTGGAAGCCTTGCTTGTGCTCCGAGTGCAGTGAAGAGCCAGCGAAGCGCAGGAAATGGCCAGCATCAAAGTGTTCCAGGGCGAGAGACGGATGGCCCCCTGCTCACAAACACTGGCGGGTCTGACTTGGCTCCGAACTGCTTCGCTCGCGAGCTCTGCAGGCCCGCAACAACCACTTCCTGGGAAGCTTCCAAATCAAAGGCGCGCGGAACGTAGAGTCCTAGAGGGTCTTTACGGTCCTAAGTTTTTGGGGAAAGTCTGCCTCAGGCATCTCCGCAGCCCCAAGAGGAGTGCCGCAGATCCAGGTCCTTTTCAAGGCAGGCCTTCTGTGCCTTCTTGCACTGTGAAGTTCAGGGAATTGCTGCCAGCTTGCTCGCTACCAGCTCGCTACAGGAGCGTTGTGCAGTGCCCAGGTGGACGAAAATGGCTTGCTTACTGTGGAAGCGAACAGCAAAGATTCGGGCAAACGCAGTTGGCATCCAAGTTGGCAAAGCGTGCTAGACTCCTAGACGGCAGAGAGGGCCTGAAAGTTTGGTTGGGGAGGACATTGGCTGAGGCGAGCTCGTCATCAAGCAGGAGCGTTTCCTTAGCGGAGAACAAATTGAGGAGTCGCTCTCAGAGGCCGCCGGCCTATGGCTCGTTTTTTCCTTCTGTAGCATGCGGGTTCCTTCCGGCTTCACAGGCGGAATCCTTCGCCAAGGATGATCAGAGAGAGTTTGATCGCGCAGAGGCCCACGTTGCATCCATGCGATCTCGAAAGATAACCCAGCATTTCTGCAGGCACGCATGGCATTGAAAGCCCTGGTTCGATCTCTGCATTCAGCTGCAGAATCGGCATCGGAAGAGGCGCAGAGATGCCAGGTGCTGAGAGCACTGCACACGGCGAACTGCTCAGGACGCAGGCATTTTTCAGGAAGCAGCTTCCGAGGGTCAGGCCGGCGAATGATGTGAGATGAGCGTGGTTGGATTTATGCCTCTTCTCAGGACTGGCTGGCTGCAAACCCCGATGCTGAAGCTGAAGAAATACATGAGAAGCGGGAGGAGCGCCGTGCCGCACCTGAGGGTTGCCGGTTATCCCGCTCCCTGGCAGGAACTGGAAGCCAATGTGCCGGACCTGCCCACGAAGCCGACTTCAGCTGGCAGTCATGAGGGCGGCGGTGAGCTCGACATGGAGCCTTGTCGAAGAGTAAAGGGCAATGGTCCAATGCGCTCCTGCCCCATGTTTGCTTGTCTGGAGGAGGGTCACGACGAGCTCTGAGTCTCTGAGCAGATCTGGAAACGTTAATGACCTGGTTCCGTGGCACATCAGCCAGTTCGATCCCGAGCCTCACACAGGCTCCGAGCTAGCATTTATCTCTTGCTTCAGACTACGTGAACCATCGCAGACGACACAAAGCCTGTCAAAGACCTGGTGCTTGGCTTTGATTAAGCTGAAAAGCTGCTGCAGTGCAGTTTACACCCACGCAGAGTTTGCAACAGGTGCGCACGTTGATGCTGCTGATGTTGTCTTTGCATGACAAACTTGAACGCAGCCTCAAGAGAGACGGTTGGAATGAACGAGTAGGTTCTTCCTGCTTTGCAAGCATCGAGCCTCCACGAATATGTCGAAAGGCACTTTCTGTAAATCGCCTGTGGGAGCCATGTGTGCTGGAGCTGCATCCAGTCAGGAGGACAATGACGTTCGCTCCCTGCGCCAAGGTCTGGGCATGCCCAGGACTGATCGCGAGCATGACAGGAGAAGCCATTGACCTCCAAGTCCGGAGAAGTCGGGCGCCCACCCAGAGTCGGAGCTGTAAGCTTGCATGGCTTTGAACAGTCGTGTAAAGTACTTGTAGTTAGTACGATGGTTTTGCGGCTTGCCTTTCGGGTAGCAGCGAGTCAGTGTGTGGCTTTTGCTTAACGGAGAGTGTTAGTCCCGTCAGAGCCATGCAATCCTCAAGGCTTTGAGCAGCATTGCCGTTGCCCATCTCCGGGCTTTCGAGGCTTGAGAGCTTTGTTCATGCCTTGGCCCCATCCTCTGTGTGCCCTAAAGAGAGGCGCAATTTCATTTTCGCGGAGCTCTCGCGGCGATTGGTGGGGTTCTGTTGTTGGCAGGCCGCGAATGCATCTGCATTGGCTGTCTGCTCCACACCAGTTTAGTCAGAGGGCACATACTGAAGAGAGCTGCAACCAGAGAGATGCAGAGATGAGAGATTACTTTTGCAGCTAAAGTGGGAGCACTTGCAGCGTTGTGGTGCATTGTGGCAACACGTGCCTGCTGATGCCCTTGGTCGTGTTGGGTGGTGAGATAGCATTGCTGAAGGCGGTGCTCATGTTCAGGCTATTGAGAAATTCCGGTGCTTGCAGGCTGCTTTTGGGCAGCTGTGCGATTCTTGACTGTCTGGCTCTCAGATCGCCTGTGGCTATCAGCAGATTGTGGAGTAGTGTGCTAGAGAGATTCGGAAACCCTGCATGCTCACATCATGCAGAATGAGCTGAGTCGCAGAGCTACCTCGTCCCTATCCTGGCGGGTGTTGTGGCATTTGGCATGTTATGAGCAGAGACTGCCTAGGGCCTAGACACGATCGGCTCTGGCGATCTCTTCCGATCTGCCAGGTCTGTATTGCTATTTCTGCCGCAGCCGATCCTCAGGGATTGCTGACACATCTTCCAGAGGAGGTGCGGGCGGTCCAGATGACAGGATCCGCTGTGCTTGGAGTGCTTGGATGTGCTTGGGGCATGATTGTGCTATCTTGTGCTGCTGCCAATTCAGCTTCGGGCGGTAGCGAGGTCCGCGCCAGGAGGGGCCGAGGGGCCTGGGGAAGCCATGGCAGAACTGGGACCCGTGAAGCGCTTTGTCGCTGATCACCCGCCAGAAGCAGAGCCCGAGACGATGCCTTAGTCGATGTGAAGCGAGGTTTCGGATTCGCCAGGAACCCAAAAGCAATCCGACTTACCGGCCACAGTCGGTTTTGATTACTGTACTTGGCCGATCTTTCCACTTCATCATTATCATGCAGTCATGCCAGCCTCCTGCCTAGTTTATCGTTTTTGTTGCGACGTACCTATCAGCAAGAGCGCGAAGAATTCTTCGCAGAGCACGCTACGCCAACGCCGCGCAGCGTCATGCTCTAACACCTTGCCTCGTCACGCGTCACGTACCGCCACGCCCGATTGGCGGCACATAGGCCTCGACACCGTGGGCCCGTGACGCATCTTCACGCCAACAGCAGGGTTTTGTGAGTTTTGTGTGTCCAACGCGACATTTTACTGGCGGCCGCCTGGTCGTGTGCCGAGCCCTGTATGTCATGCAAGTCAAGCGGCTTCACCGCGTACACCAGCAGGTTGAATTTATGAGAACCCAAGATGCGAGATTTTTTGGAAGAGCCAGTCTGGCTGGAATCGAGCTTAGGAGGAAGCGCCGTCGCATCCCTCTACAACAAGTCGTGCGAGAGCTGGAAGCAGCTGGGCTGTCCCAGCCTGCACTGAAGTTCGTGCAGGAGGTGGTGTCTTGGCTTCGTGTTAAGTGGCATCAAGCTGTCTCCAGCTCCACATTGCCCTGTGAACGGCAGATGCGGCTAAGGACAAGCGGACCTTCAGCAGCAGCGAGTGCATGTTTTGTGCTGGAGCCAGTGTTGGAGCATGCCGTGGTCCCCCTGCTCAGCCCCGAAGGAGGAGATTTCCTTTCATGGACCCGTCGGACGTTTCTGTAGTCCGTATGCGCATTGCGTGAGGATGGTCACGGAGGAGCAGAAGGAGGAGGAGGACGAGGAGGAGGAGCGGGAGGAGGAGGAGGAGGAGGAGGGAACGAGGCAGTCGGCGCGAGAGAGATCTCCCGGAGGAGCACGAGACAGGAGCAACGCGAGAGAGCACTCGCAGGAGCCAGGAGCAGAGTGAGTCACGAGTCACCAGGTTGTTGTAACCGAACTGCCCTTTTGGCCTTGCAGTCAATGCCTTTTTAGCGCGAAGTGTTGCCACACTGTCCACTGAGGAGGAGGCTTGAGGGCCCTGAGCTCACGATGCTGAAGCGTGATGCGCAGGAGTTGCCCGTGATGGACGCGACAAAGAGACGAATCCTAGCTTTGCTGGTCAGCGGTTTTGTTTGAGTAGCAGGCATTTCGCGAATGTCGTTGTGACTTGGTGGTGAAGTCAGATCTGTCAGCAACATCAGGACGGATATTCTCACAGCAAGTGCCCGTCCTGAACGTTTCGAAACGCCGCGTTGCTGAGGTGCAGGACTGCCGAAGCGGCCTGGGGGGTCGACCTACCATCTTAATCTGGATAGTTTGACAGGAGCTGACACCGCAGAGTGGCGCCATCGTTCCCTTCAAGCGCCCTCATCAGTTCCAGCCAGTCCAGAGAGACTTGCCTGCATTGAGAGCAATGAGAACTCAACTTTCCTGTGGTTGGCAGCAAGACTGTCATGCTTGATCCGAACTGATGCAAAGCTCCCTCGTTGCCTACGCAACAGACAAGTTTGCATCTAAGGCACAAATGCTTGTGTACAGCTGCTTTTATCGGGTGTCACTGGACTTACACAGTTTACCATGGACTGCCACGGAACCATCTTCGAGGCTCACGGTGGTCTGTTCTAGAGCTGCTCTGTGAACTTGGTCGGCCTTCGCGAACGTTGGCTATAGGTCTATGACCACGGCTTCATGCGTCTTGCCTCACGTAAAGATTCCGCATACGAGAAAGGAGCTGACGGAGGGCAGCTGAGGCTGACGGAACTTCCGAGGGGTTGGCAGCCTATTGTGAACTCGTCGGGTCGACTGGCGAGGGTCGCCAAGGTCGCATTGGACCCTCACGGTGCATCGGCTGGAAGGATCGCTTATTTCTAGATAGGTACGGAAACGGAGCCTCTGACTTCATGTCTCCTTTCGTCTGTGTGAGGCACCGCATACTTCTTGTCTGAGGAAGGTGAGCTCTTGATGATGGTGCGCTAGCCTCAGTGCTGCGGGACTCGCCGACTTTGCGTTCTACCTGTTTCCAGCTGTAGGTCTGCCGTGCGATATTTGGAGCGAGCAAGCTCCAGCGACGAGGAGTTGAAGCTAGAGTTTGTGCTGCCCTGAGAAGCCTTTCGAGTCCCGATTCTGCCTTTGCTTGTGGCTTGTAGACTTCAATGCAACCTCAACGAGGTTGACAAGACAAAACTTCCTGCTGATGTTCGTTTAGATGCCTGGTGCAATCGATGGAATCACCTCGGATTCTGCTCCATTGAAAATGCCGTCTGGCGGACCCCCCTCCGCCGAGGACCTTGACCTGGACGAGAATTTCAGCCCGTCTACCTTTGCACCATCACCTGCAGAGATGGCCACGGATGACGAGGACGTCTCCGAGTTGTCTCAGACTGGGCGTTTGTAAGAGTAGCAGTGGCGAGGACGAGAGTTAGGGAAGGTGGCGGATACAGAGCACAAGTGTGTGTGGGGAACACGAACTACAATTGGATAAGGGAGTTTAACACGTAAAGACAGCTCGGACCGTGCAGCTTCGAAAAAGATGCAGGGGGGGCATCCTCCCAGTGCAATCGGATGCCCAACGAAGAGGGTTGCACTTGGGACTGAACTCAAACCTGGACGCGGGTTATGCAGACAAGACTGAGCGTGAAGTCGCGCCACTGAAAAAATCGAGCCTGCTTTCCAGGCAATGGAGTGGGAGCACATCTGACGCTCGAAGCGCTGCTCCTCACCGTCTGCCTCCTGCCTGAGCCTGCATTGGAGCAGCTGTCTTGCGGTGATCGACATACATGTTCCGCAGGTGACACGAGACAGCGAGCTGTTCGATTTAGAAACGCAATTGTACAGAGCGCAGCCGAGCGCATGTGCGGCACTTGGAATTCGACAGATGTTAGGTCACAAGTGCCGTGTACGTTTTCGGTGAATGTCGAATGGGGCGGGCAAAGATGTTGCCGTGTATGGATGTCAACAGACCAGAAGGCCGCTGTTATGCATATCGGACATCCTGCCCTGCCCCATTAAAAATATTTCAGCGCATGTCTGACTCTCGATGCTTGTAGCAGGAACCTGGCTGCCTGGAGGTGCAAGGTTCCCTCTGTAAACAAAACGACAAGGAACGTGGAATCAGTTTGTTTCTCCGACTTATGTGTTGCTGCGCACGATCATGATGGGGTGTGGCATGACAAAGCCAGTGGAACACTGGCTGCGCCCAGCCTACGAGGCAGACAGCATTGGCGGCAAACGCTGTGCTCGTGCGAGACGTCCAGCGCTGACAGCTTTAATTCCTGACCACCTCATCAGGAGGGCTTGTGCGTGTATGTTGTCTAGGGGTGCTCGCCGTGCCCCGGTCAAAGACCGCAAAGACGCCACTTCACGATAGAAAGCAAAAGGATCTCGAGGTCCACGCCTTCCGTGAGCCTCAACCAGCGCGATGCCTTCGCTGACAGTTGCCTTGTGGCCGGAGCTTTGTGGGTTCGAGAAGGGAGATTTTGATACTTTCGGCCTTCCGTGCAGAGGAGCAGCGGACATCTGAGCACCTGCACACTCCGCACAGTGATTTTCGGGTTGCACCAATCAAATCTGTCCGAACGCTTTCTGTGAGGAACCTGTGTGAAAGATGCTCCAGAACCTTGCGTTCATGCGGCCCAAGGATTGACAGAAGCTTTTTGTAGTTTTGTTTTGGCATTCGACAGACTCTGCATGCTCGCCAGGAGTACTTCACTCCGAACCAGAGAGCAATCGGTCGTGCAGTGGCGTTCCTGACTACCATCGTGCTCATTGTGCCTTGGATGAATACGCATGTGTGTGCAACAGGACTGCAGTCACAGTTTGCCATCTTGGCACTATGCCCTATGCCGAACGGTGGCCGAGTGACGTTGTTGCAGAGACTCACAGTTTTGCCAACGGTGCGGATTGCTGCTTACAAGGTGCAGCTGGGCGACAGGGTCTCAGTGACGGCAGTTCAAGCGAGTGGTTCCGTGATTCCATGTGATTGTTTTTGTGCTTAAAGGAGAACATGGACATGCCCGAGAACCCGAAGTATGCCTGAGCTCAGGGTTCGGTGGCAGGGCGTGAAAATCAGACCGCCCTGAGTCTCACCGGCGCTTGATCAAGCCTGCCGTGCTGTGAGCTTGCGGAGCAGATAACACAGCAGACGGCCAACGCATCGAAGACACGGACGGTGACAATTTACGGTGTCTTGTGTGAGGGTGCGCGAGCACAAAAAAGGTACCCGTAGGTACTTGTAAGCCGCGACGTGCGGAATTCTGACATCTTGTCCTCCCGGCCTGGTCACTTGGGCAAATTCTGACAGGTGCAAGATTTCCTCCTCAACAGACGTATCTTCGACATCATTCACGATGATGCTCCCGGGATGCAGCTTAGTTTGGGCCGACTACGACTTTCCCCTGTCTCGAGCTCGACAGTCGCCGGTCACCAATGCCATCCGCAAGTGGGCGCTTGCCACAGCTTCCGATTGTGGAGGGGGACGGTGGCGATGTCAGAAGGCTTGGATGGCTGCTTCGCGCGCAGGGCCGTGTACAGTTGCTGGCTATGCAGAGCGGATCATCGGAAGGCTCTTGCTTTAGCTGTCGCTGCTGAACCATGGGTTGCTCTTTCCTGCAAGTTTTTGGAGGAGCCGTGCGAGAAATCGTTCAGAGCATGGGCCCAGACTTCGTGAACTTCGTGCTTTGCAGGACCCGAGCTGCAAGAACTGATCTTTGCGATCCGCACTTGTGCATTACTGGCAGCAGGAGTTTTCTCAGCTTCTTTCCTTCTCTCCTGCAGCAGTTGATGCTGCCGACAGCAGCCTGGCCCAGTATCGTGCCGCAGTGACTTAAAGAGCACTGAGACACACCTGAGGCCCTTCCTCTCGGAGCTGATGAGGGCGTCTCGGCAGGCCCGGCGGTGCATCAAAGGACAGCCGGGGAACATTGGAGAGCGTCTCTGCAGCCGAGGCAAGTCCAAGTCGGGCCTTGCCAGGTACGGGGCAGGGGAAATGGGGGCCAGGATCCGTAAATCCTTTGTGCCTGGCCTGTGCCCAAGGCCAGCTGCCAGATCTGATACTTGGCCTCAAGAGGCTGCCATGATCCTGTCTCCTCATGCTTGGGACGCTCGCTTGGTGCAGGATGGGCGCCAGGGCGCACCTCCAATCTCTTGGTGCGCAGCCATGTGATGCTTCGAAAATTTGGAAGTCCGAATGGCCGGTAAGAGCAGGATTTTGCGCTTCCTCCAGCAGAGGAATGAGGCCATGAAATACACCATGAAGACCCTGATCATGCTAGGGTTGTCTTGAGGCCAAGATGCAGAAAGTCACAGAGCCCGAGCTTCTCCCGCTTGTGGTTCCGAACATTTTCGCTGTCCTTACAGAGCGATCGAGGACTCTAGCAGCAGTTAGCAAGCTTTGTTGCGCGGGAGATCTTCGCAACTTGGCGCAACAAATGCAACAACTTTGACATCAGGACATTTGCTCATTCGTTGCTGCACAAGCTCAAGGCGGGTTTCCAGTTGCTCAAGCCTTGTACGATGCACCCTGCAAATTTCCTGTTTCTGGACTCTCCCACCAGATCGAGTCATGCGGTCTGAGAATCCGGCAGAGGTATGTGCTGCCGCAGCTGGAGCTGGTCTGATCCTTTGTGAATGCCACATTGCCAAAAATCCTCAACACGAAGACGTGGAAAGCCATCGTCGTTTGCGTTCAGCTTCCAAGGCTGGGTGGTGTACGCTGCAACGCTTTTCCGCGGCTTTGGCAGCAAGGTGGGGGTCGGTTTTTGCCAGGATTGGCTCCTGTAGAGCACTGCCGCCAGGCCATGCTTGAGAGTCTGGCCTCTGGGGGGCTGGGCGTCGTGGTGAAAGACGGGGAGGAGGGCCGAAAGAAGGCTCGTCTGGCCGCGGTCCTGGGCCTGCTCAGCCACGGCCTCGCTGGCCCCTCCGTGGCCTCCCTCCTTGTGAGACCGGCGTGTCCTCCCCATGTCAACCAGGTGCAGGCGGTGCAATCGTGGTCGGAATGTCTTTCGAGCGCTTCAACCGTCGTCCGAAGGACGAAGAGGGTCCAAAGCAGAAACGAGAGGCTCTAGTCTAACAGTCTACTGCATTCATCGGCTTTCGATTGGAAAATCTTGAAGGATCCCAGGAGTCTTCAGCCGTCGACAGATCGGTTGGGGTCCCCGAGGATTTGTAGAGTGCAATGCATCATCTCTTACACGCATTCTCGGACTAAAGGCCTTTCGAGCCCGAGCGCGAAGCATCTCCTCCAAGCTCAGAGGTGTCCTGAGGCCAACACAGTGATCGAGGGAGCACCAGCCCAAGCATCCCGATGCTTGAGGCATCGGGGTTGGCTGTTGGGCGATTAGCCAGAGCACAGGCCCGATTGAGCAAACAGCGTACACTAGACAAGTCACGCAGATACCTTGCCAAGCTCTGTTTGGTGATTTCTAGACTCCAGACGATAGACAATGTTGGAGGCGACAGTCATGCTATCAAGGTGCTAACAGTCCTGCAGCTGTTTACAGCCGATTTGTGAAGCTTGCAGGCGCACCTGTGATGCCCTGTGCGAGGTTCTCTTTTGATTCGTGCTAAGGATGCTCAGTATGCTCAGCTCGAGACATGAAATTCATGTCTCGCAGCAGTGTGCCAAACTTCACCATTAGTGTGCAGCAGAACGCCCACAATTCCTTCAAGGGACGGCAAAACGGAGGGCAAGCCCTGCTTCTTGCCTCGACATCTGCTGATGCCGTGCTCATACAAGAGAGTGTTGACGCCCGTTAGGATCCTGTTAGGGCCTCCTTTGGAAGCAGATGGGAGTCGATTGACCTGCAGCGCGGAGTATGCACGAAGTGAAAGCGAATCAAAGACAGACGCGCACTTCACAGTCCAGTCTCGTACTCATGCAATCATTTTAAGTAGTGCATAGGTCGCTTATGGCTGAATCTGGCAGCGAAGACGGTTCGGATGCACAGTCCAGTGGCGGTGAAGATCCTGGTTGTCTGGCAGCTTTCGCCGTGAGCCCAACTCCCTTTGAGAAGATATCTTGCCGGACGCCCAGGCTTGTGCTGAGTGTTTCCTGTGTGAACTGTTCCATGGTGTCAGGGTGACTTGCAGTGCGCTTCTGATACGAGTTCGCAATCCTCAGTTCTCTCTTTGTCGCTCCCTTTCTGCCCGGACTTCTGTGTTTACAACGAGAAGCTGCAGGGGCTTGCCAACATTTATCCTGCAACGTTTCGAGCTCCAGAAACTAGACAGGCAGCTTGACCTGGTGGCTTGGCCCAAGAAGTGGGGACCAACGGCGCGCAGGGTTCTGCCACGGCGGAGTAGGCCTGTTGTGGAGAACTGAGCTGTTCAAGATGCAGGTGGGGTTTCGCGCGGGGTGAAGTCTGACAATACAAGCGTGCTTCAGTTCTGTTCCGTTCCAGTCTTCTGCTCCTAGCGTACTCGTAGCCAGCGTCGCAGGGGCAGCCACAAACGCACGGGTAAGACGGCGGATGTATTTGTGCATTGCTGCATAGTCTGCATAGTCCAAGGCACGGTGAATGAACTATTTCGCCGGCTAAGGCCTGGGTGAAGGTGCTTTCGGTGCGGTTTGGCTCGCACGGTGCAAAGAGACTGGTCGCAACATCGCCTTGAAGGACTTGCGGGGCATCGCACAAAGCGCTAGGGGCCAATTGGGGCGAGGATATCTAAGAGTTGTTCATCAATTCTCACTCACTCTAGTCTTTATGTCCGATGTGTCGGTTCGTGTCTGCCCAATGACAGACGACTCCTGCTTGTATGGTCATTGGCAGTGCCTGGGAAATACGTGAAGGACTCATACCCCATCTTGCCAGCTGCCGTCCTCCAGCTACACCCTATCAGCAAGTGTGCAACAGTGCACTGAATCTACAACTCTCCTCCTCCTGGCACAAACACACACACAGGGCATGAGCACGTACGCTATGGTCTCGTTGCGCAGGTGCATAGTATGTATGTGTGTAGGTATGTATGTATGTAGGTATGTATGTAGGTATGTATGCATGTATGTAGGTAGGTATGTAGGTATGTAGGTATGTAGGTATGTAGGTATGTAGGTATGTAGGTATGTAGGTATGCAGGTATGTATGTATGTATGTATGTATGTATGTATGTATGTATGTATGTATGTGCGTATTTTTGCATGATATGTATGTGTGTGCATGTATGTGTATGCATGTATGTACCCGTATGCATGTATGCATCCATGCATGCATGCATGCATGCATGCATGTATGTATGTATGTATGTATGTATGTATGTATATGTATGTATGTATGCATGCATGCATGTATGTATGTATATATGTACATATGCATGTATGTATGATCGTATGTAGAGTTGTATCTATACAACTATACAGTCGTACAGTTTAGGAATGAGTATATCGTCGTATATAAGGACACACAATTACATTCTGTACGAATAGTTGTATAGTAGAACTACGTAATTATGCAGCAGTTGTTAATTCGACAATAAAACATTCATGCATCTATCCATCTATCTGTCCAGCCAGCTGTCTATCTATACACACACGCATACAATTATTTCTTGATCTATCACACGTGTACACCTATCTTGAAGCTCCCCGGACTCCACCATTAGTCCAAAATGTGTGCCGCACTGTGGCGGGAACACGCTTCCCACCCGAAATTGGGAGCAAGGTTGTTGGAGGCGCAGACACGAGTTGCAATGGGTCGTAAGCTTCATAAAGTTGGCCTTCACATCAACATCACCGCAAGCATCCTGTAAACCACCTCCGGCCCGAGATCCAACGGTGTATTCTCCACGCACGACTAGGTAGAACTTTGATAGTTGCGACGTCATATGCTCATGTAGGTCACATAGGCCAGCCTGAAAGGGGAATGTGTTTTTTCGGGCTGAATTTGCATCGGTGTTATTGAGCAAGCTTGCACTGAACAAAACGACGACGCCTTTGAATGCACCGTGCAGGAAGTTCCCCGACACTTGGCAGAGCCACACCTTCTGTACGCCGAGAGGGACGTGCTTCGTCAGGCAAGGGCGAATCTTTCGTTCATGTTTTCCAAATATTGCGTGACATAGTTACTCCGCCCCGAGGTTGCTCGGTCGAGAGAAGATGGGTCGTCCTGGGTTAGCCCTGCATTGACTGAGTTGGTGATGTCCTTCACAACCTCTTTCGCGATATGCTTAGCTATGGAGTTGGTCGAGGGCGCCCACCTGCTCGACCATGTGCGTGCAGCTTCTCGCATGTCCGAGTTGCAAGTGCAATGGTATACTGCAGAGCTTGCTGCGGCCCTCGCGTGGCTACACACAGCGGGTTGGTTATACAGAGACTTGAAGCTTACCAATGTCATGGTGTCCCTGTCGCAGGAATCTTACGGACGAGTGAAGTTGATTGACTATGGGTTCGCATTTTACGGTGCATGGTGCGATAAAGCTGTTGGAACTTTGCGCACGATGGCTCCCGAAGTCATTTGCTGTGCAGATAGCAGCTGGTTGGAGCACCTGAAGTTGGTCTGTCCGACAACCGTTGTGGGTTATGGTCCTGCTGCAGATTGGTGGTCCTTGGGAATTCTACTGTACGAGCTGCTAACTGGCCAGCCGCCATATGGACACCAAGATGACATCGTCCTGGAGGGCTTTCAGACACTGCAAGCTCAGCTGGCAAGTCCTGGCATGCAGTGGCCGAGCGATTCTGTGGCAAGCATCTTGGCAGCACTTGCATCAAGCTGTGTGCCACATTTGCTTGAAAGGCTTGACGGCTTTTCGCACATGCTTCCGTTATAAGCTCAAATGCAGGTGGTGCAGCCAAAGAAGCTGTCAGTGCCTTCTGCCAAATTGCTCCCACAGACAGACCTAGTTCTGGTGCGGAAGTGCGGCGATATGAGTTCTTCGCGTCCATGGACTGGGCTGCAGTCGACTCGAGCACGGCGCCAGGCTTGGCACATCCTCCTCGGAGTCATGCTTTGCTCAACTTTCGGCTGTCCCTGTGTGGTACCTTAATTGCGAGTGGTAGGACCTTCGTTCGATACGACGCTGGGGCACACTGCAGCCTCAGCTGCGGCAGATCCTTGCCGGCCTAGACGAGGTGCATTGCCAGTGGCTTGCGAGGACCCGGGACCAGCAATGTGCAAGCACCGAGGGTCCCATCATGTCCTGGCTTTTAGTTCAAGCTCCAAACACGCTATGCCTGTCAGGAGCCCGATCCATTTAGTGATTGGTGACACCTTGAATTTCTGCAGAGCGTTCTGCTTGCTCAAAAGCTTGTCCATAGGAATTCAATCTGCATGACTTAGACACTTAGCTTCGGAGCCTTTGCGCATCCCAGTTCCTTAAAGCTTCAAGCTGCGGATTTCACATTGAGTTGACACTGATGCAAGACTAGACGTTTGGCTTTGATAGGACTCGCCTTTGCTTTGGCTCAGCGTTGCATTGCCAAGGCATCCGGCTGCTCTGGCAGTGTGAGGGACGTAGAGGGTAAGCCGAATGAGGGCATTGCCCCGAGTGCTCGCAAGCGTCCTTTTTGGATATGTTGCTCTGTCTGCAGTGAATTGTTTCATTGCAAACGTGAGCAGCTCGCCGTCAAGAAGTCATCCCGGATACTTGGTCGGACAAGCTCCAGGTTCTCATCGCGGAAGGTTGCCAAATAAGGCAGTAGCTGAACCGGAAGTCCTGACACTCGAAAAGCCGGTCGCAGAAGCTGTCGACGACTCTGTGGTCGTCGAGCGTGCTAGGACAGAGGTGACAGACGTCGCGGAACTGCAAGCTGCTACAAATCCTGTCGAGAATCGCAAACTTAGAGCTGCCATCGAGTCCATTCAGTTGGATCAAGAAGCTCTTCGCATGTCGACCCCTTTGCTTTCCATCAAGACTATTCTGGCAACAGGTTCCGCAGCAGGGCTATCTGCACTGGCCACCCTTGTTGCAGCTTCACCGGAACTGTTTGTGTGGTTACCGCCACTGACAACGCTTATCTTTTTGTATTCATCCCTGTCTGAAAGTGCCGCTGGCAGATATAGAGCAAAGTCGAAGTACAACTATGGGCAAGCCTCCAGGATTGCTGCACTGGCCGAGTCAAGCCTAGCGACGGCGGAGGCGAAGACGGTCTTTTTTCCTTTCGGAGTTGGGCTCACGGCAATCACATCGGCAGCCTGCGTGAGCTTGAGAATATTCAACGAGAAAATTGGCGATTTCTTGCCTGAAGGAGAGTCGTTTTCAACAATTCTTGCAGGCGACAACGTTATTCTAATTTTGCTCGCAACGGCTTCTGTGTATGGAGCAATCCTCACAAGCCTCACCTATGCCGCAGCCTCATTCTCCATTTTGTCTTGCACACAAAGTGGCTGCCCCTTTCCTCGAGATTTGCTCTCGAGGTGGCAACCCGAGCAGCATTGATCCTGGATGAAAGTATCCAGAACTCTGCCCCAAGTGATTGGGAAGCAGGCCGTTTGCCAAAAAGGGCCAAGGAGCCGACGCCGGAGGCCGGAAGTCGGAGCCTGCTCGGTGTTGAGTTGCGTGTGCTTTACCTGCCTTGCGAGGATGAGCGAAATGTGGTCCTGGCCACCATCTTCTTCTGTTTGGTTCCCGTTCCCTTCATCGTATCTTGGAGTCATGCTACGTAGACCAGCTAGACTGCTAGACTGCTACAGGCTACAGGAGCGAACTTGCACAGAGCTCACCTGAGTGCCTGACAAATCGAAAACTAGAAGTTCCCGCAACAGATTCCTTCCAGTAGAAGCTTTTCAATGCAAATCGCGACAAGTGTTTGGCGCTTCTCACGCCACTAATTGAGACACAAGGTAGATGGAGTTGACTTCAACCTGGTCGAGCCCTTAGTGCTGCGGGAGGCCTCTCGCAGACTTGTGTCTGCGATCCTGGTTGAGATGTGCTCTGAGGCGTCGACAAACCCACTGCTGTTTAACAAGGACAGCCCTACGCCCCTCTTGTTCTGTGCCACCTGGAAGAAGGTCAGTGTAGAAGGGTATAGGCAGAAGCGCCGTGCGTTGTGCAGGAACTGCAGGAGCTTCTGGACAATGCCTCCGTCGTTATTTCGGCATCTGCTGCTGCTCAGGCAAGGTTGGAGTGCTGTTTCCTTGAAGTTGAGCGGAGCAATGTTTGATGCTTGTCGAGCACACTTGAGCAAGGCAGCAGTGGCATTCCTGCTGGGTGAGCGGGACTTTACAGATGCGGAGCAGCGATGTGCACAGCAGTCGAAACAGGCGCGTCCGATTGTTCCGCCAGCTGATGCTAGTTTCAGAACGGATGTGACCAGGCGGCGCTCGCCGAGATGTTCTGTGCTCAAGCGCAAGAGGAGGCTGCCATTATCCCGGCATGGGCCCCAGCGCGGCCTGTGAACAAAGGGCCATTAGAGCGGCCTCAGGTTCGCAGCGCCGTGTCCGCTGCCGCGCGCGGTGCTGCAGATCTGGTCATCGACGCTTACTTCCAATTGTCGGGAAGTAGAGTTCTCTTGCCAGTGGCTGAGTGGTAGCCAAGTTGTGGCCGAGGAATTCTCGAGGCTCGCAGCTGTCTTCTTCCCATGGGGATCTGTGCAGCAAGCTTTTCAATCCATATTGACCCTTGGCGGAGCACGTATGTCATTGAACCTGGAACTACAGAGCTGTTGATGCAGTGCCCTGATTAAGTTGAGTTTGGGCTATACATGTATATGTCTGGGCAGCTAAGGAACACCAAGCTAGTGAGAGTAGAGTCGGATGCAGCGACGAAGGAAGCTCGACAGGTGAAGTATGGTCCCAAAGTGACGCGGAACCGCAATGCGATAGACGCCTCGCTGGTGGAGATTGGCCGTTTGCAGAAAGAAGCCTTTCCGGCTGACAGCGACATGCGAAATAAGATTCTCGCACTGGAAGTCGGGGAAACGAAGACGTTCAAAATACGGTCCAAGGAAGGCCGCCGAGAGGTGGGGAGTTCTAAGTTCTGGGCACTTTGCAGCATGCCAGTTTGCTTCACATGCTGCAGCACGCAAGAGGTCCACCTTGTCGCAGCGGAGCTCGGCATGTTCTCGCAGTCCAAAACTGTAAACGATCAGAGCGACTTGAATCAGACCTCATTCGCCGCTCTTCGGTCCGTCCGCGAGCACTGAGACCTGAGGAGTGGTTGAAGTCAAGAACACTGGCAGAGACAAGATGGTTTTGGCTTGGGCCCTGATATCTTGAGACAATCAAATGTGGGCAATTCCCTGCTAGTCAAGTGCATTCGCAGGATGAGGATACCCTGTCGATCTCGGATGCGATTGTTCAAGATGTGGTGGAACCAGTGCAGAAGGAACCCGGAGCTACTGTTTTAAGTAGTCGCCATTCAACGCGGCAGAGAACTGTTCTCGGTGATTGAGGAAGCGCAGATCGGCATTGCCGAGGGCATACCTGAAGAGTGGTCGCCATGGATCTCTTCCGCAGCTGTGGCCGCTGCAAGCGTGCAGGCCTGGAACTGGAAGAGCGGAAAGTAAGCGGATGCATTCAGCGGCCCGCAAAGCGCACATCAGAGCGTCCGATCGAGGCGGCTCCGGCGGTGTTGGGCGCCGATGCCTCGCAGGTGGTTCTGCCGCTGGTCACAGGCGGCATTGGGCTCCTCACTGCACCTCGCAGCAAATCGCGGAGCAGTGCATTGCATCATCTTTTGCCGAGCTTTTCGGTGCTATGCGCTGGGTCTGTGGGTGCAAGATCCAGCTCAGGTTTGGCAGGAGAGAGTCGGTTGGTAGCTCAGGGACTTTTCTGAGCAGCAGAAAGGAATGGTTCGCGGCTTGCACCTCAGGCAGGGAACAGGTTGCCTATGCCAAGAAGGATGCTGCCTTACTTCAACAGCGCCATGCCGGAAGCTCAGCTTTCCGATGCTTCCCATAAGTTAGGCTCGGCATGGCAAGATTGTCGTAATTGTGTCTGGCAGCCTGCCCACATCGCCTCACAGCCCTCTGCTCGCGATCTGCTCGCGAATCTTGGGTGCATTCACTGCTGCGGGCGGCCTGCCCACACCGCTTCAAAGCCCTCTGCTCGCGAATCTTGGGTGCATTCACTGCTGCGGGCGGCCTGCCCACACCGCTTGAAAGCCCTCTGCTCGGGAATCTTGGGTGCATTCACTGCTGCCCTTCGCAGGGATTCGCTTCTTTCCACAGGCACAATTGTTTCGCGAAGCTTGCAGCCACTAGCCTTCGTGATGGCTGTAGTCATGGCTTCCCATTGAAGACTGATTGCCGCGAAGTCAGGGCTGGGGAAGGAGTGAAAGTCAGGTGGGTGATCTGGTTGGATGTTCAATGTTCAACTTGCAAGCAGGGCTGCGGTCCTGGAGACGGCTGCGTCGTTTTGGACTTTTGGACCTTTGATTGCTTCGACGCGCGTCCTGTGTAGCCTTTCCATTGATGTCGACAGTCTTCTCGGCAGGGTCGCAGACGATCTTTCATTTCTCTCAGTTTCCAATGTTTGTGCTCCAGGCCGAAGCAGAAGCTCTCTGCGGGCTCGCGGCCCTGTCGGCTTCTGTGTCTTGACAGAAGACGTAGCGAAGCCGAAGCTGTGAAATTTCGGGTACGGCCTTTGAGGGCTGCGGGCCTGCGGAATTTTGGCTAATGCGAGGCGCTGCCCACCTACGTGGCCGTTGCGGCTGTTGCCGGTGGGGTGGTTCCCGCCTCAGGAGTCTCTCCTCCTCCTCCTCCTTCTGCTCTTCTCTCTCTGACTCTCTCTCTGTCTGTGTGCTCTTGTGCCTGGGGGTTTTGAGGTGTTTCAGCTGGTTGATTCCGCTCGTTGAATTGTTGCCTCGATGTCCAGGCAGCTGTTGGCTTCCTTGGACATTTCGGTGGTGCCGTTGGATGGGCGTGTGAATTGCCCACCCTCGGTGTCTCCATGGTGACACTCGTCCTAGCACTGGAGCGCCAGGACTTCGCCGGTGGGATCAAAGCTTCAAAGCATGTGTTGATACTTCTTGAAGCTATCAGAGCCTTTCAGCAGCCACAACAAAAGTCCAACGAAGTTCTTTTCGTCAGGAGCTGGTGGAAAAGTATACCCTCGGTGCTGCTCGTGTAGTGGGCGGTGAGCCGCCGGTCAAAGCCAGGTTGAGGGCTCAGCGTCTTTGGCTTGTGGTCCCGATCCTGGTGATGTTGCTGCCGGAGACACTCATCCGCCGCTGCTGTGCGGCGAATGCTTTGATCACTGCGGAGCTGGGCTTCGTTTTGGCGAACTGTGCTCGTCAGTTGTCCTTTGGTGAGTACTTCGCGGCCCGCACTCGGCGGGTACACTCGAGGACCGATGCATGGGCGCAGGTTGCAACAGCTTGTTCACGTAGTCTGCCACTGACTAGTGCCCTGGCTCTGACGAACACGCTCATTTCGACAACCTTGGGGGCTGTCAGCGTGTCCTTCGGCGGCATCTTCCCGATTTTTGGACTGGCCGTGTGTGTCAGGGCCGTCCAGAAGGCAGTGGAATCTCGAGAAAGCGCGGCCTTGACACGCAGAGAGGGAATGGATGCTCAGAAGCTTGGAAAAACATTTCCTCCGTATTCGGATCTGGAGGTGCAGGACCGGGGCGTAGTTAGTTCATCAGCTGGTGCCAGAGTGGCACACAATTTGCTCAGTGTGTCGCGTGGACCTGTGGTAATGCGGTTTTGAGAGAAGTGCTGGTGCAACACCCAACATCAATGCCATGCTTGTCCAGCGTTGTCATTGATTCATTGTTCTGTAATCACGACGTCGCTTTGTGGCCTGTTTTACAGCTGTTCGTATTTCGGAAGGACGATGATTTTATCCCTCAGACTCCGACCGTGGCCAAGCGGATTCGGGAGGACCTGAAGCTGCTTGCTCCAAGACAGGTCCGAAGTGCCATTGGCAAGGCATTCAAAGGCGCGGCCCACCCTTGTCCAAGCTGAGTCTTGCTTGATTCACACTGTCACTTTGGATGCCGCGCATGCTTCACCGATCTCGACAGCAGGCTTCTTACGAATCTTCTCGGAAAGCAAGCCCGAGAAGGAGTTTGCGGAGACTCCGGATGCGAAGGTGATCAAACGCGTGCAGGCGGACCTGGAGGAGCTTCGGGTCACTGTCAGGGGCAACGAGCGCAGCTGGCTTCGGGTCGGCTCGGAGCCTTGGTGGTGCCATTAGCCACACTCTGACTGAAGTCAATGTGACAAACCCGCGTAGAGAGTGCCGGCAAATCTAATACAGTTGCTGAACAACTGCCTGGGGCTTTTGCGGGAATGCAGCAAGCCAGCAGTTCCCTCCAAGTCCAGGTACCCGCAATTTGCAAGCACGGACGACAACTTAATCTCCATCAGTTCGCATCGACTCACTGGCTCTGAGGTTGTTGGCTTGCTCACCGCTTCTTCCATCTTGGCTCCCTTCCTGCTCTCTGAACTGCTGACGGAGGTCATCGTCCCGTTGGCTGGAACCGTGCTGACTGTCTTCGTCGTCTTTGCAGAAAGTGAAGCAAGGTGGCACAGCCTGACGGTCTTTGCTGAATGCTTCTCCACTGCCTGCACACAGATCAGGCTGATCAAGCCGTATAGTAGGACCAGCATCAGTCAAGTAGACTCTGTCAGCGACTGGCGGTAGAGGCCACTTCATAGTGTGTTCCCACTTTTATTCTTTGTTGCTGACCTTCAGCACAGCAACTGCAGTCGCAGCTCCATACTTTCCGTGGGCAGCAAAGAAAACCAAGAAACCTCGAAGTAAACGGCTTTGCGACTTGGGCAGCTCGGAGCAGTTCGACCTCGCTGCGCAGTTTTGCTGGCGCGGGTCTTCCTTCCCCTTAAGTCGATTTTGTTGTCATACCCCATGGCCAAATGCTTTCAGCAACGGTGGAACTAGGAACGACCGGGTGGGCTTTAACTGGTCGCCTGCGTGCGCCAAACGGTCAGGGCAATCTGCTTTCCATAAACCGCGACTTCGTAAAAATGGCCCGGGGAAGGGGTGTAGTCGGGTGATATGCTTGTGTCGCTGTTCAGTTTGCCAGGTCGTCCGTCGCACAGGCCAAGGTCCGCGCGGCGCAGTTGAATGAGCAAATGTCCACCATGGAGGACGCTGCCACAGCTGTCCACAGTACAGCAACATGCATGAAACCTTTGCAGGAGCTCGTTAGCATCAGCTCACTTTGGAAGTCGTACCTCATGGCTATGGTCGGCATAGCAGACTGCAATGCCATCCTAGCCGCTGAGGCTTTGTTTCAGAGTTTAGGCACTGCATCGACTTTGTTGAGTAGAGCTGTGGCTTCACACGAACACTAGGATCAATGCCGCATCCATTCATGACGGTACTGAAATCGCATGGCACCATCCCAGATTGAAGTCTTCATGACACCAACAAGAATTCTCTTCCATCGTAGCATTTCCACTATGCCTGAAGTAGGGTTTGGACACATCCGGTCGTCATGGTTGAACCATCAGCGCAACCACTTCTACTACTGCGCTCCCGAAAGCTCGTGCGACGACAAGTTCCCATTGCTGAAGTGCCTGTTTGGTAGGAGGACACGGATCTGTTTTGCCGTCAAGCATTGCCATTTTGGCGGGAGTCTGCTGTTATAGAAGGGTGCGATGTGCGCCGTCAGCCTGCGCCCAGGCCGGTGATCGGGTCGTTGCCGGTCGGACTAATGAAGATGTTTCGATCGTGGTGATATTGATTTGATCACATGGTCCTCAACTAGCTCCTACATCCCGGCCGCAAACGAATTGTGTGTGATTGTATGCGCACTCGTTCAAGCAGTGTCAAGTGAGAGCGATGAAACGTGATCGTTTCTTGGACAGACTTTAATTTTGTTTCCGGTGGCGTATCAGAGGTTGGATATTAGGATTGCATGCTGGCACAGAGGTTGGATATAGGATTGCATGCTGGCACATGGTAATACTAGCATACACGCACGCCCGCATTCACGCATGCATGAATGCGTATGTTTTTTTCTGGAATACAGGCATATTTTAGGAAGGTACATACAAGAGCTACAGGCTCACGCTACCACAAACTTGTACATGCACACATCCGTATTCGCACACCAAGACCTACATGCAATTTACATGCACTAACTTTAATGTTTGCTTACCCGCATGTCTGCTCACCTACAATGCAGACGTGCCTGCCTAATCCTGGCTATATATCCGGCTCTGTATCGATACGACTGCCAATGCCAAGGGCTTGGTGCTGCACTCGAAGTGGAATGTCATCAAGTGGAGACTTGGACAGTTTCGTGATGGTTTCGTTGCAGAGGGGTGGTGGGAGATCCGTTGTTCGGACTTGGTCTTACGAGCCTTAAGATGTCGAGGTACCAATTAAATGCAGCAAGTGCCTGAGTGCAGTCCATGCACACGAATCTGTGTGACGAAGGCATCCCGCGCTGGTCTACTTGCAGGATGGCGCGCAACTTCTGGTCGCTATCACATCCATCTTCATTGCTGCCTTGGCAGCACGACGAATGCTGCAAGTGCGAGAGTGGGCGCAAAGCGTGGAGTGTCTCGGCACGGGCAAATCAGGCATTCGACAATATATTGTTGGGAGTTGTTTCGGTGGATGGTTGCAATGATGGCTTAGTACGGGTGTTGTTGAGTTGGCTCACAGCGCGTTTGACCAGCTGGAGCTTGCCAAGCACCGCGGGATTAGACCGGATTTCAACAACTTCACGTAGTGCATCATTGCCGAATTATTGCTGACGTACCATTTCCGAGGAAGATTGCGGGTGACAACTTTTCGGAGGAAACGCTTGCCGGCATCCGGCAGACCTCTCCCATGGAGGTGGATGCCGGCAAGGGCGTGTACCCTTTAAGCAAGCGCCAGATGCCTGGCCGCAAAGCGTCAGAAGCTGAGTGTGAAAGGGCTGTCCACCGACGCATGGTTTAAGCCAGCAAAGGAAGCTGTTCGTGGTACTGGCAGCAATATTGCCTCCCGTGCTGCTCCCCAGCTTCAACCTAGTCCTTTTTTGTGGCGTTTTGTTGCGCGTGGGTGTGCGGGAAGGGAGAAGATGGTAGCGCTCGGAAACTGGTTTTCTGGATGTCTTGGGCATTCCGACACAGGCCGACCAAATCATCCCATAAACGTTTCCCCCTGCATCAGTGCCTTTCACAACTTTCAACCGCTTTCCAAAACCCGCGAGGAATCCTGCGAAGCCTCAGCGCCCCTAGTCTTCAAACCCGAGCTGCAAGACCGGTGCCAGCAAGCCCCAGCCTCCCAAGCGCACGGTGACAGCCGCCCGAGCTGACCCAATGCTCCATGGCCCAGAGGCAGGTTCTGAGAGCTGAACCAGCCGCCCCGCCCGAGATCTAGGTCCTGAGGTACTGTATGGGTCATCTTCCTTCTTCTTTGGGCATACATCGTTTTCCCCGAGCTGCACACTGTTTGGTTCAAGCTGCTTTCGTCACTGCGCAGACGTTTCGTCAGAAATCTCAGTCTTCAGTGCACTGCTGCACGAAGCACCCATCCACACTTCTTGGCTTGCCCCATCCCGGAATCACCTCTCGCAAAGGCTCTGGACGCGGCACCGCGTTCTCAAGTAGACACGGGCATGAGTTTTTGACAAACGCTTGCAGGACAGTTCTGCCCTCAAGTAAATGTTGTTTGGTGGAACCAGGACCAGGAACAGTATTCTTGCATGAGTTTCGGTTCCGCGAAGTTGGAATGTCACGCGTTTTCACTTAACATGCTGGGTGGGCGGCCGGCAAGGTTGCTCGTATTTCCGCTCGGGGAAGAGCTTGGTGAAAAATGTGTGGATGCAAGTGGAGCAGCTGCCCTGGTGGTCTCCTCAGAGAGCAGAGCAGAGAAGCAGACGAAGCTAGTGCATCACAGCCTCGGGAGTGCAGCAGTGCAGTGCTATGCAGGTGGTGGCCCTGACCATGGTTCAAGCCGAAAGGGTCTCCTGTAGAGCGGAAAGGACTCAAGCATCGTGCAAGCGGCTCGGACATGCAATGAGGAGTGAGACACATGGGGTTTGCAAGAAAAGAGAATGTCGATCTCCCTATTTGTGGACATGGGCGTCTTTTTGTGTATGTTTTTGCATTGGTAACCCTATGACCACAGCAACCGGGTCACAGTCCCTTTGCCACCACCTGGAATTGCTTTCACGGCAATTCCGCCACAGCAGCAACAACGGTCGAGTCTGTGCTTGCTACGTGTATTTTGCTTGAGCAGGACTCCTATACAAGCCTGTCGGGACTTGAGATGTTTAGTAGGTTCTCCTGAACAACAGCAACTACAACAGTGGGGTGCAGGCTTGTGTTTTTTACTTGTACTTTGCCTTGTTGGTGCAGTCAGTATTCTGGAAGTATACTTCGCAGACTGCAAGCATTCATGTATACATATCAACATAGATCACCAAAAGACAGCTTACTCGACACAGAGTGTTTTGATTCGTATCCTATTCCCGGAATACCAGATGCATACTAAACGCCAGTCCGAGTTCCTTGGCTTCAAGCATATTGCCATTGTTCGTTCGCACACGTTTTACATACTACTCGTAGCTACAGCTACAGACTTCTGGGTCGTGATACCGTAGGTTTTTCTGAATTTGTTAGCCTGTAACCGTGTAGCTGAAGGGCGGCAATCCCAGCTTCCGGGGCTGAAGGGGAGTTGTGGCTTTTTGTTACCACCAATCCATACTGCTCATGCTGCTTTCTACACAGGGCCACGCTCTTTGATTTTTGTGTGCGTGCGAGTGGGCGGTGAGCATCTGTGATACCAATGACGCACAACCATGAGCATGTGGCTTACTGGGACGAAACTGCACCTCTTGACAACATCGGCACAACATCGTCGACGAATATCCCGTGGTTCCAGAAAGCTTCTCGGTGTTGAGATTATAAATGCTTCAACAATTCTCTAAGTCCCTACAGCTGCGTATCCAAGTATTACCATTCTACCCTCATGCCCTTTGCAAACTATGTTTTTGTCGTTCACACACACGTACATGTATATCTGCACACATACATACATGTACGCACGCCTACGTGCTTACATCCATGCATCGATGCCTAAATGCAGAACTAGATCATACGTGCATGCATGCATGCCTTACTTACATGCATGCATGCATGCACAGGGCTTAGGGCTATAACCTGTCTGCTGGATTCGCCTTTCTCTCACGAGATCAATACCAATCCAAATGATCACCAATAGGATGAACGAACATCAGCAACAAGACAATGCCGATTCAGCTAATCCAAAAGAAAAACAGGCAAGACGCATAAAGACACAAACAAAAACCAATACTAACAACAACCAAAAATGAGAAACACCAAACAACGAAACACCCACAACTGTGTGCAGAAAGTCTTTCACGAGGTCCAGCCCAGTGCCACCGGCTTTGCACTACCTCCAAATTGCAGGCAACCTTCCCGGAAAGCCGGCTTGGAATCTCCGAGGACATGTCTCTTCGTTACAGTGTCGTGGCCTCTCCCTGTGATCAGAGTGGCTACTCAATCAGACTAGAAGTTGGTTACACTGACTCAAAGAACCACGGAATATTTCTGCTCGCAATCTGAATGGCAGGTTAT